TCTCAGGCTCCCGAGTGGCTGGGACTACAGATGCATACCACCACGCCCAGCTAATTTTTTGTTTTAGTAGAGACAGGGTTTCACCATGTTGCCCAGGCTGGTCTCAAACTCCTGAGCTCAGGCAATCTACCTGCCTCAGCCTCCCAAAGTGCTAGGATTACAGGCATGAGCCAAACCATGCCCGGCCAGATTAATGTTTTGGGTTTTTTTTTGAGATGGAGTCTTGATCTTGTTGCCTAGGCTGGAGTGCAATGGTGCATCTCAGCTCACTGCAACCTCTGTCTCCCAGGTTCAAGCAATTCTCTTGCCTCAGGCTCCCGAGTAGCTGGGATTACAAGCATGCACCACCACACCTGGCCAATTTTTGTATTTTTAGTAGACAGGGTTTCTCTATGTTGGTCAGGTTGGTCTCGAACTCTCAACTTCAGGTGATCTGCCCGCCTGGGCCTCCCAAAATGCTGGGATGACAGGCGGGAGCCACTGTGCCCGGCCCAGATTAATATTTTTATGCCTGCTAATACTACATTCATTTTGCAGCCCACGGGTCACAGAGTAATTTGGACTTACAAGTCCTATTATCAAGAAATACATTGTAGGCCGGGCGCGATGGCTCAAGCCTGTAATCCCAGCACTTTGGGAGGCCGAGGCGGGTGGATCACGAGGTCAAGAGATCGAGACCATCCAGGTCAACATGGTGAAACCCCGTCTCTACTAAAGATACAAAAATTTAGCTGGGCATGGTGGCGCGTGCCTGTAATCCCAGCTACTCAGGAGGCTGAGGCAGGAGAATTGCCTGAACCCAGGAGGCGGAGGTTGCGGTGAGCCGAGATCGCGCCATTGCACTCCAGCCTGGGAAACAAGAGCAAAACCCCACCTCAAAAAAAAAAAAAAAAGAAATACATTGTAAAGGCTATAGCTGCCATAGTGATTCCTCTGATTAATCTGGGCAAAGTAAACTGAAACCCTTCTGGAAAGGATTTACCATTCTAAATGCTTTAAAAACATTCCTGATTCATGGGAGGAGATAAAAATATCAACATTAATATGAGTTTGAGAACGCTGATTCCAACTCTTATGGATGACTTCAAACAGTTTGACTTTAGTGGAAGAAGTAAATGCAGACATGGTGGAAACAGCAAGAGAACTAGAAGTGGAGCCTAAAGATGTGACTGAATTACTATAATCTCATGATAAAACTTTAGTGGATAAGGAGTGCTTCTTATGGACAAGAGTCGTTTCTGGCCAGGCACAGTGGCTCACGTCTGTAATCCCAGCACTCTGGGAGACTGAGATGGGCGAATCACTTGAGGTCAGGAGTTCGAGACAAGCCTGGCCAACAGGGTGAAACCCTGTCTCTACTAAAAATACAAAAATTAGCCGAGCGTGGTGGTGGGTTCCTGTAATCTGGGCTACTCACGAGGCTGAGGCAGGAGAATCGCTGGAACCAGAAGGCAGAGGTTGCAGTGAACCAAGATGGCACCACTGTATTCCAGCCTGGGTAACAAAAGCAAAACTCAATCTCAAAATTAAAAAAAAAGAAAAGAAAAAAAGTGGTTTCTTAAGATGGAATCTACTCCTGGTGAAGACGCTGTGAACACTGTTGCAATGACAGCAAAGGATTTAGAATATTAGATAAACTTAGTTGATAAAGCAACAGCAGAGTTTGAGAAAACTCCATTTTGAAAGAAGGTCTACTCTGGATAAAATGCATCAAAGAGCATCACATGCTACAGAGAACTATTTTGTGAAGGGAAGAGTCAATTAATGTGGTGAACTTCACTGCTATCTTGAGAAATTGCCACAGTCATTCCTGCCTTCATCCACCTGACTGGTCAGCAGCCATCAACATTGAGGCAAGGTCCTCCACCAGCAGGTCCTCCACCAGCAAAAAGATTATGACGTGCTAAAGGCTCAATCATTAGCATTTTTTAGCAGTAAAATATTTTTAGTTAAGGTATGTACTTTTTTTGAGATATAATGCTATTGGCTGCTTAATAGGCTACAGTATAAACATGGCTTTTATGTACACTGGCAAACAAAACTTCGTGGGACTTACTTTATAGCAACATTTGCTTTATTGTGGTGCTCTGGAACCAAATCCACAGGATCTCCAAGGTATGCCTGTAGAATGGTCAGGATGTGGTGAATCATATATGGGACAGGGAGGAGTTAAGGAAGAACCCCAAGTTCTGGCTCAGGCAAATGTCTGCTAGGAACTGAACTCTCTCTTCCAAAATTCATTATATTGAAGTCCTAACCCCTAATGTGATTGTATTAGTGACAGGGCCTCTAATGAGGCAATTAAGGTTAAATGAGGTCATAAGCGTGGGGGCCCTAACCCAATAGGACCAATGTCCTCATAAAAGGAAGAGACCGGAGATATGTGTACAGAGAGAAGAGGCCTGGTCTAGCGCAGTGGCTCATGCCCATATCCCAGCACTTTGGGAGGCCAAGGTGGACAGATTGCTTGAGCTCTGGAGTTCGAGACCAGCCTGGGCAACATGGTGAAACCCTGTCTCTACCAGACAGACTACCCAAGGCGTGCTAGCCTTGAAACTCAGATACCACGGCAGTGTGATAGGTCCTTCGGGACCAACAAAAAAACAACTTGACGCATTTTTTAAAAAGTGAAGTCTCAGGCTGCCAGAAAAACAACTTTAGTACAAAAACTGGAACACTCTGGTTTCAAGCAACCCAGTACCTCATAGGTGGAGAAAGCAACAAACATGTACACATATCACAAGCAGTTTATTATTTAAGCTTGTTTGACCACCACCTCATTTCCTGTGGCTGAAAAGTTTGGGGAGAAGAGAATCCTACTGTCAGTGATGACCATCTTGGATTAGTACCCCAGGAATGGCTGTACCAGTGGCTTGTGACCACCTCCCTAATGTTACCCAAATAGGAACCACAACACCTCTCATCTGAACAGAAAAAGCAAAAAAGGCTTCAGAAGGCAGAAAGCTCAGAGGTAAAGAAGGTGCTCAAGCCAGCCCACAGGCACTGCCATTGAGCTGATTCTGTTTAATCCTGTGGTGTCTCCTTCCCTAAGATGTCTCACTGTTGATGAGGATATCTCTTTGGAATGTTTTATTTGTGTACAAAACATTTCTGCACATTTTAGACCCGTGCCCAGCTACCAGGGTGCCAGACAGGAAACTGCAGAGCTTGAAGGCCAAGCCTCCTACCAGAGTCCCAGCAGAGCAATGAACATCTGGCTGGGCCTCTGTTCCCACAATTTCTGGAGGCCCCTATGCCATATTCTCTGCTTTCTTATTAAATGGCTGCGTGGGTTTGGCAAGCAGAAATGAGGTGTTAAAAGCGCAATGGCTGCAGGGACTGGGTCCCGGCACGTTGAGTTCCAAGTTGGGGCTCCATCTGCATCATGAGTGCCCCCACCACAAACCCCCTAACTGCTGTCACCACCTCCAAAGGAGGCCAAATCCTGAAGGTGGGCTTCGGCATGGACACAACAGCATCAAAGGTGCAGGAGGTCCCCATCCAGAAACACTGGATCATGAAGTGTAATGACAGCATCTTCCAGCGGCTCCAGGACTGGGACCAGCAGCCACACAAGGTCATCCCTTGAAAGTCCTGTGGGAGGAGGTGGTGCCCACCCTGCCAGGTGGTCGCTTTGATGGGATCTTGTATGACATGTACCCACTGTAGGAGACCTGGCACACACACCAGCTCAACTTCATCAAGAACAACACTTTTCACCTGCTGAAGCTGAGGAGGGTGTAGCCCTCACCTACTGCTACATCACTTCCTAGGGGCAGCTGATGAAGTCAAGTACTCAGGTGTCACCACCATCCGAGACACAGGTGCCTGAGCTATTGGAGGCAGACCTTCAGGGGAAGAACTTCCTCAGAGCAGTGATGGTGCTGGTCCTGCAGATGATCACATCCCTGGTCACCAAGCCCTGAGCCCACCCAGCTCTGGCCAAAGAGCCCTCTGCCACCCCTCCTCAGTACCTTCAGGGCTAAGAGTCCAGGCTCTGGCTTGTCATAGCCCAAGAGCTGACCCTGGCTGTGTCATTGGGCAGCTTTTCTGACCCCTACAATGGAAACACTGCTGCTTCCCTGCCAGGGTCCTGGAAGGCAAAATCAACACTAACACTGGGCTTGCTCCTCCCTCCCTCAAAATAAGGGCAAGATGAACTCTCAGAGGAACAGCAGCAGATAGAGAGGTGCCAATGGTCAAGTGTGGAGAGCAGACTCCAAATGAGAATGCAGCAGAGCAGATGACAGGATGCGTAAGTCAGGCGATCTAAGATCTAAGTGGCATGAGCCACTGTGCCCAGCACTCTTAGGCTTTTTGAGAAATATACTTTCCCCAAAATTTCCATAAGATTTGTTCCACCTAGGTATTACCCAAAAGGATCTGGTGGTGAAATCGATGTGGGTACAGGCTTCCTCACCACAGACTGCTTGGAGACCTGAATAATCAATTTCCAATGAGGATATGGGACTCAGGGAGTGCCGTATTTATTTAATAACAGAACCCCTTTTCCAGAGCATCTGACAGGGGGTTTCATGAAATATACTCTGGAAATTAAAGTGAACTCTCCACTTGGGCATAATGTTATGTGGGCACATGGACTGGCTTAAAGGGGAAACGAGAATACTTCAACATTCAATCAACAGTAGGCAGCTGTTGGATATTTTAGAAAAAGGAGAAATCCATTTCTTGACCATGGCTAAACATGGTGAAATAACATCACATTTTCCTGAACCACCCTAATCCCAGCCCCTCAAGATCTACCAGGTATGCAACCCCACACCCCACAGTCACATACATTAAATCTACACTTTTATTTTTTTGTAAATTGTGCTTTTTCCTCAATGAACTTTAATATCAGTCCAGGACCTCCACTTCCCCTTAAACGACACACACACACACACACACACCCCTTCCCCTTAAACAACACACACACATAGCCCTCCAATCACGTGAAAAATCCCCGGCGATTAGTCTATAACAAATATTGACACGAGGGGGAACAAAAGCATGTTGAAATGTATTAGAATCAGAACCTGTACAAAAAAAAAAAATTAAAATATAACCTGAAACTGTTCAAGTTCAGAAGTCTAGTTAAGTCCTTTTCTCTTGCCAGGAGAATGCCATCATCAGAGGGCTCTGGGTCATCACCAAGGAGGGGTGGAAAGATAGACGGAAGCAGCAACAGGTCCTTCAGCAGACAGAGGGGCATCGGTGCCACCAACCCTACCCAGGTGGAGCCAGGAGGAGTTAAAGATCTCAGGAGAGCAAGCATTAGCTGGCAGCCCCAGTGGGTAGCTGGGGTTACACACCAAATACAAGGCTGAGTAGTCAGAGGCAGCAGGAATAGTGGCCAGGAGAGAACACCAAGCCGGAAGGAACCACTTCTGCCACCCAGCAGACCCACAGCACCCTCTGTCTGTGCTCAGATACCAGAGGTTAGTCAACCCAGCACTCCCAATTAATTAGAGATCGAAGCTGGACTTAAGAGGCTGAAAACCCGTGGGTTTAGTAAACATAGCCCAGCATCACATCCCTCCACGGCCTGAACTGGAGCTGCCAACAAGGGATGAGGCAGAAGAGGGAAAGCAGAGCATCTGAACGCCTGGCTAGAGATCGCTGCACCATCATGGGGACTGGGGTATGAGGGGCTGGAAAGGAACACCTCCTCCTCACAAGGGGAGGGGCCTCCTTCACAGTCATCCCTAGGGGCTGGTTAAAGCTGCCTCCAGCTTGTAACCAGCCTTACAAAACGACATGGAGCAAAAGAAAAACTGGGAGGGAGACAAGCCCTTACACAGAGACAAGAACCTCCTGGAGGGAAGCTGGGCAGTGTCTGACCCTGTTGGGATGGCATTGGCGGAGCCCCTGAGTCTGAAGGAACAACTGGGGGAGGAGGGAGTGGGTGAGGGGGAGTAACAGTTTTTCTGGAACAGTACCAAGAGGGTGGGGAGGCGCTGGTGAGGGGACGGGCAGGTCTGGAACTCACTGCAGGTAGAGGGGGGAGGAAATGGGTCCTTGGTGTCCCCTCTGCACCTGACCCAGGCCTGGTGAGTGCCAGCTGCCCCAGCCGGCCCTAGTGACGGCTGGAGACCAGACCTTTCACTTTGGACATCTTCTTGGTGGGCTGCCTCTGCTCAGCGTGAGGGGGACACTCCCGTTCAGCCAGCTGCTGCTCCATCTCCTGAGCCGAAGAGGATGCGGTGGCTTTGAGTGTCTTCTTGATGTTGGTTACCTGGTGGGGAGACAGAGAATCGTGTGCTCAGCCTGTATGTGACTTACTAAATCTTGCTCTCACTATAATGTCTTCACTTCAGACAGAAAGCTAAAATCCTCTGCAAGAAAACCTGAAATTATCTTCAGAAATCCAGATGAAGAGAAACAAGCCTGGGCTATTTACAGATAAGTGGAAACGAGGCAAGCAAAAACGTGGGACTAATGCTCTCCTGGTGGAAACAAGTGGAAGGGACCATTTGGCAAAGAGGCACAACACCAACAGTGAAACAAAGTAGTGATTGAAATGTCCTCAGGAAAAAAAAGAGGGGCCCAAGAATTCTACACTCTGCTGCTATTCATTTATAAAACCACAAATGTTTTCATAAGAACTTTGGGAATACAGCTCCATGAACCCTTCTTGAATAAACAGTAGAGGATGAACTTCAGCCAACTAAGTGAGAAATGAAGAAAATGTAGTAAAAGTATTGGCAAAATGCTATTTCACTATTTGCAGTATACCTTTCTTTCACTTAAAGTACAGACTCGAAAATATTTAAGCAGTTCTTGAACATTTTTCCATGTCAGAACAGATATCCTCTGTGATATGTGAATACTACTCTATTATGAAGGTTCTCCAGTTTTTTGAATCGGTTCCTAGTTTGAGTTTCAGCGCTATGCTGAACAGCCCTCTATGTTTACCTTTGTATACCTCTGTGAAGATCTATGGAAGATACCCTAGAAGTAAGCTTTACAGAGCAAAGTGGATTTACATTTTCCATTTGAATCAGTACTGCTACATTGCCTGCTGAAGAGGGACTATTCCAAACCTTTGTTCCTCCGCTTGTTGAGAGGAAGAAACAGCAGGAAGAGGATGATAGTGGTAGGGAAGAAGATAAGTAACAGTTTTTTCAAATTTTTTTTTTTTTTGAGACAGAGTTTTACTCTGTTGCTCAGGCTGGAGTATAATGGCGCAGTCATAGCTCACTGCAGCCTCAACTGCCCAGGCTTAAGTGATCCTCCCACCTCAGCCTCTTGCGTAGCTTGGACCACAGGTGTTCACCACCATGCCTGGCTAATTTTTAGAAAATTATCTGGAAAGACAATGTTTCATCATGTTGCCCAGGCTGTTCTCGAACAGCCTCCCAAAGTGCTGGGATTACAGGCATGAGCCATGGCACCCTGTCAGTTTTCTACACAGTGGAAAGGGAGTTGTCGGGGTCCTAAGTTCTGAACAGTCAGAATATCATGGGCTTGAGAGTAAGAGACAGTCCAAATGCAAAGATGAAACAATGCTATTAGAGTGAGACAAAAACTGGGTTCCTAGAGGATCGCCATCATCTGAGGAATCCATTTAACTAGATCAGAAATTGTTGGCTGGGCACGGTGACTCATGCCTGTAATCCCAGCACTTTGGGAGACTGAGGTGGGTGGATCATAAGGTCAGGAGTTCAAGACCAACCTGACCAACATGGTGAAACTCTGTCTCTACTAAAAATATAAAAATTAGCGGAGCGTGGTGGTGCGTGCCTGTAATCCCAGCTACTTTAGAGGCTGAGGTAGGAGAATCGCTTGAACCTGGGAGATGGAGGTTGCGGTGAGCTGAGACTGTACCACTGCACTCCAGCCTGTGCAGAAAAGCAAGACTCCAACGCAAAAAGAAAAAAAAAAAACAAAAAACAAAACATAAATTGTTTTCTGTTGTCATTATTTTGAGATGGGGGAAAGAGCCATGCCCCAAACTTCTGTAACCTCAATCAACACTGTTGCCTTTCTGAAGAGAGAGTGACAAGAGGAATGTGGGCTAAACAGAAATTACAGAGGGCAGTCTGGGCATGGTGGCTCATACTCCTAGCATTCTGGGAGGCTGAGCAAGGAGGATTGCTTAAGAGCAGGTTTCAAGACCAGTCTGAGCAACATAGTAGAATCCTGTCTTTCAAAAAAAAAAAAGAAAGAATAAGCTAGGTATGTTGGCGTGTACCTGTAGTCCCAGCTACTCAAGGGGCTGAGGCAGGAGAATTGCTTAAGCCCAGGAAGTAGAGGCTGCAGTGAGCCATGTTTGCACCACTGCACTCCAGCCAAGGTGACAGAGTAAGGCCTTATCTCAACAACAACAACAAAAAAGAGAAAAACAATTAGCCCAGTTAGGTGGCATATGCCTGTAGTCCTAGCTATTCAGGAGGTTGAGGCAGGAGGAGCACTTAAGCCCGGGAGTTTGAGGCTGCAGTGAGCTATGATCATGCCACTGTGCTCCAGCCTGGGTGAAACAGCAAGACCCACAGCGTGTGTGTGTGTGTGTGTGTGTGTGTGTGTGTGTGTGCATGCATATATATATACAATTAAATAAATAGGGAGGGGTGTCAACTCTGGGTTTATCCAGTGTCCTGCCAGACCACAAAACACCATCTGGGAACCCTGAGCCATCTCGCCCTCCTGGCGGCTCACTGCTGCTTTGGTGTATCTCATTCAGTGAGCCACCTGGTGAGGTAAGTGAATGATCTGGAGCAAGTCAATGGCTTGCCACTCTTTCTCTGATAAAACAGATATTATTTGTTTTATTTTAAGGCTTTTTCTTTTTTAATTGAAATGGGATCTTGCTATGTTGCCTAGGCTGGCCTCAAACTTCTGAGCTCAACCAATTTGCCTGCCTCAGCCTCCTAAGTAGCTGGGACTGCAGACACACGCTATTATGCCCAGCTAAGGCATATTTTGATTACACTGGAGGAAAAATTAGAAATTTGATTTCTCAGGAAACAGTGCTTTATGAAATAACATTCCAAGGCTTCTCCAATTTGATATATTTTCTAAATATCCAGAAGAAAATGAATTAAAATCATAAAAGGGAACCGCGTGACTTTAGCCCGGGAGTTTTTATTTCTTTGCATGTCAGTCACCTCTGACTTCCGAAGAAGATCCTGCAATTTAACATTACCTGAGGGAATATATTTTACATTTTCCCCAAAAGCTGAAAAAATTTTAATCAAGTAAGACATCAGAAAACTAACAAGTTTTTATTTCAACGATTGTATTTCCAAAACTTGTATCTTTCCAAGCAAATAATTACCTTCCCCATTTGGCAAAATAGCTTTATTAAAAATTAAAAAACAAAACCAAAAAAATTTCCTAATTTCATCTTAGCTGATAAACACTATTCAGCCTTACTTCCTCAAGTTATTTGTGTAACAATTTTTACTAAACAATCAGATTATGCTTCAAATAGTTTTCTATATTACTTCATTTAACACGTCTTAGATTTACTGACAATCTCATAACCCCTACATGAGTAAGAAAAAGGGATTACTCAATCCCCAAATAATGGCTGTATTTTCAATCTGCTGTATCTGTGTTTCTGTAGCATAAAGTCATTACCAGCTTATCAAAAAGTGACAACCAGCATTTCTCTCTTTAGAGTGGCCCAAGGTGACTTGGCCTAGCTTTGGACTCTGAGTATCAATGGCTGGGCTGAGTGATGAGTCCCTGACCTGCCAGCCAAGGAGCAAACTCTGCCTGTGGCACATTCACCAAGGCAGTGCTCTGCTGCCAGCCTCTCAGCAACCGACCAGTTCAACTGACCCCAAAGGCTTTTCTGTTTTACTCTATTACTTTTCAAAGCTCAACACTTCCAATGCTTCTCCTTCACAAAGCCAAGAACTCACAGTTCTCACTCTGGTCTTGAGGGAGCCTGCGCATCACTCTTCTGCAGTCACAGAAGGGCTTACTTACCCTCTGCTTCATTTCTTTACTGCCACCCCCCACCATAATCCAGCCTTCCTCTCTCCTGGTCACTCAGTTCTGTTTGAAAGCTTTGAGATTCAAGATCCTGTCAAAAGTTTTTGAGCAAATAAGCAGAAAGAAGCATGGACACCTTCCCCTGTCATTCAAATGCCTATTTACTTCCTCAAGCAATTTTCTCCTTTAGAAACTGCTCTCTCAATCGGCTGTTTTAGGTGCTCCATGACTATGATATGCAATAAAAATAAATAAGACTTAGCCTGGGAAAAACTTGGTTTTATTCTCTAGTTCTGAAACACCATGATCGGGTGCCTTCCTTCCACTCCTCAAGCCTGCCCTGCACTCAAGCCATGCTCAGCCACACTCATCCCCCACACCACACTTGGAAGCAGTTATCCCCTCTCTGCCCTTCTGTTTTTCATGCACCCTGGGAGGGCACCACTCCTCCCCAGCTCACCCATCTGATCCTGCCTGGAGAGCTGAGTGCCTGGTCCACACAACCTGCCCTGACTGCTGCAGCCCACGCTGATCTGCCACGCTTCAGCCTGTACTTGCCTGGCAGTGCCTCTCCCTGTTCGATGGCCTCCCACACCACTGTGTCTCCTTCTTGTGTCAGAAGCACACACCTTGCTCTGCCAATAAGACTGCCGACAAATCTAAGTCCTCTACAGTCATTACTACTTTGAGGCAAAATGTAAACATCCTGCAGAGGAGAAGAGAGCTTCTTGGGCAAGTGTGTCTAAGCCTAGGAAATGAACCCTTTATCCTCCACAGAGTCCTGGCCTGGGCTGGGGCAGTGCCATGGTCCTCACACTGGGATCCATTACAGAGTCGCTTTGCTGAAGTCAGCTTTACCGCTGCATTTATAACACACAAGTCACGAACAAGACTTCCGAAGCACTGACAGACTCTCCAAGTGGAAGGGGATCTTCAAGTCAACTAGCTTCTTGCAGTAGCTGAGCAGCTGGTAAGCGCAGACAGCTTCTTCTAGGACTTCGAATTGGCCACCCAGGCAGGTCAATCAATTAAACTTATTTTGGCCTTGCAGACTTTAAGAATTCCAAATCCTCTTTCACAGAGCCACCCTTCAATTGACGACAAATGTCATCCCCACAGACTTGTCTTCTTTTACCTAAATTTGGTAGAGTCGCTTATGAGTTTCTTCCTTCAGAGGCCTGGCTTACAGACTCCTCAAAACATGAGCCTCAGAAAAGTAGGACTGCACTGCTAGCAAAAATGTAGCCTAGCTCTATCAGAGACCTTAAATATTTAGGCAAAAGGAGAGAGAAGAATTTCTGGGGCAGAAAACCTTCCTTCAGTTGAGGGGCAAAGCAAAGGCAGACAAGAGGAAATGCAATGCAGCTGGAAAAGCTATGCCAATAAACCTCAAGATTGTCACTAACTCCTAGGTGATTTTCTACATAATGGAAAACAGAGCTTACTTTGTCCAGTTACACTTTAGGACCTACATGACTAGAACATAGCCTACTTTGTAAATGTGGCAATAGTTATAAATTAACATTCTACATAACATCAGACATAGGCACAACCAAATATAAAGAAAAATGGGGCTGGGTGCAGTGGCTCAAGCCTGTAATCCCAACACTTTGGGAGGCTGAGGTGGGCAGATCATGAGGTCAAGAGATGGAGACCATCTTGGCCAACATGGTGAAACACTGTCTCTACTAAGAATACAAAAATTAGCTGGGCGTAGTGGCGCATGCCTATAGTCCCAGTTACTTAGGAGGCTTAGTCAGGAGAATCGCTTGAACCCAGGAGGCGGAGGTTGCAGTAGTGAGCCGAGGTCATGCCACTGCACTCCAGCCTAGGCAGCAGAGTGAAACTCTGTCAAGAAAGGAAAGAAAGAAAGAAAGGAAGGAAGGAAGAAAAAGAAAGAAAGAAAGAAAGAAGGAAGGAAGGAAGGAAGGAAAGGAAAGGAAAGAAAGAGGGAGGGAGGGAAGGAAAGAAAGGAGGAAAGGAAGGAAGGAAGGAAGGAAGGAAGGAAGGAAGGAAGGAAGGAAGGAAGGAAGGAAGGAAGGAAGGAAGGAAGAAAGAAAAGTGGTTTGGGCATGGTGGCTCACACCTGTAATCCCAACAAATAGGGAGGCACAGGTGGGAGGATAGCTTCAGGTTAGGAGCTCAAGACCAGCCTGAACAACAAAGCAAAACCCAGTTCTCCATAAAAAGAAAGAAAAAAAAATCAGCCAGGTGTGGTAGCATGCACCTGTAGTCCTAGCAACTTGGGAGGCTGAGGTGGAAAGACTGCTTGAGCCCACGAGGCTGAGGGTGCAATGAGCTGTGTTTGCACCACTGTACTCCATGCACACCAGCCTAGGTGACAGAGTGAGACCCTGTCTCAACAACAACAGAAAAAAGGAAATACTTTCCAAAATCAAATTTAAATGTGCAAGTGTTTTGTAATGCTCTGAGTATTACCTCCTCACCACAGTGCTTCCTCAGAGATAATGAAACAGCTCATAATGTTCCTCCAGGTATGCTGGAACTAGGAACTAATATGTGTTATTTCCACTTCGGCAGTCTGTGATAGGGCTGACTTCATTAAGAAGGAGGGCTCTTAAAGCTACAACTCACCAGAAGAAAGCTGTTTTTATAAGATTCAGGAGGGGGACATCATGTTTTTCTCTCTGAAAACAAGCAATCTAATTTAAGGACAAATAAAGAAAAGCTCACCAATCAGTTGACAAAATAGCTTTTAAAAGTTAGGCCAATGGTAAAAGACTCATAAATACAAAAAGAATATGACAGAATCACCTTGGTTGGTTGTAGATTTCTTTTTCTTTCAAGCCAGTAGCTATTTGGTGAGTACCTTCTGTGTGCCTCAAGCAGGGGGCAAGCAGCCTCCAACACTTAGCAGCCAGAGCATGCATTTACTGAATGGAAAAACTGACAAGGCTCTAAGCTTTGGCCATGCTCAGGGAACAGACCATATTGGTCTGTTCCAGATTTTCTAGAAGACTATTACATCAATAGATTGGTGGTGGAGGCGGCCTTGGCCTTTTCCTCAGATTTCTTTCTCAAATGTAAATCCTTATTGCCACCTGCTGGCAGCATCGGGCTCTGCTAGTGTCTTCCAACCACTGGCAAATTTAATAAAACCCTGTGTGCTAGTGCACACACTCGCCCTCTCTGTTTAAATAACCAAAATTTAAAAAGTCTACACTGTTGTGTAACTACGCAGTGTAACTCAGACTTTAGTCAGGTGTCTACAACAGCTCTGTGGACACCTGGCTTTCTTTTGTCTGATGCTATTTATCATGTAAATAAACTTGAATAGTTCAAAATTCTAAAACTAGTATCATTCATCTTTGTTAATGACCTCAATGCCAAAGATCAGGTGGTGCGGTTAGCCTCCCAACCTCATTTTGTCCAGAGTTTAATTTATCGGGAAGAATTAATGAAAGGAGAGAGTGGTGAGCCCTTCCTACTTTGTTCAGACCTCAATCCCAAGCTAGAGATGAGGCCACTATCATGAAGGTGGTTGCACAGCTTATTAGAAAAGCAGCAGGCTTATTTTCCTAACTGTCTTTGCTTTTGGCTAGTGTTAATTATAGTGCGTACTTCCTTGCCCAGGCTCGTCTCGAACCCCTTCCTCCTCAGCTCTCGAAAGTGTTAGGATTACAGGTGTGAGCCACTGTACCTAGCTCATACTTCCATGGCTAGAAGGAGGACTGGAAATGGTCTATGAATTGAACATCCACAGAGTATATGTATATAGGGCAGTGTGAGTGTATTCAAAAAAATTAGCTCAAGTTCATGAAAAGCAGAGTTCAGCAGACCATTCACACACTTCTATGATGTGCCAGAAATATTCAGTTCAACATTTGAGTATCTACTATGGGTTAGGCATGGGATAAGAAGCTTATCTTACAAATAGGAAACAGGTTTTATTTTCAAGGAGTACATATAATAGTATAGGGAATCACTCCAAATTTCACAAATCCCCCCTTTGAAAGGCACCATCTACTCATTTCTTTTTTTTTTTTTTTTGAGACGGAGTTTCGCTCTTGTTACCCAGGCTGGAGTGCAATGGCGCAATCTCGGCTCACCGCAACCTCCGCCCCCTGGGTTCAGGCAATTCTCCTGCCTCAGCCTCCTGAGTAGCTGGGATTACAGGCACGCGCCACCGTGCCCAGCTAACTTTTTGTAATTTTTAGTAGAGACGGGGTTTCACCATGTTGACCAGGATGGTCTCGATCTGTTGACCTCGTGATCCACCCGCCTCGGCCTCCCAAAGTGCTGGGATTACAGGCTTGAGCCACCTCGCCCGGCCTCCATAAGCATTTCTTATGCTTCTTAGCTAGAATTCTGGGCCCTACTCTGCCACAATCTTAGACACCTGATTTTCAAAATTCATTAAGTATCATTAACACTTCAAATCCCATCCACCATAGAAAAGAACTTCCAATGCTAAGGAAGATCAGTGCTTCTGATGTTAAGGGCTCCAGATAAATTCTGAAGTGAGGTCACGTCATGTATCAGACTACAAGTACACAAATGCTCATAACACAAAGGCTGGGGCCTACATCTGTCCAAGAGACTAAAAGTTTCCTCAACAACCAGGTGTCAATAAAACTTCATTTTACATCCTTTTAACTTCACTTGTAGCTCATCTGTCAAATTTTATCCCTTTCTTCTTTCCGTATGAAACATGTCATGCATTTCACAAGTTTATTATATGTATAGTTTAGATAAAAAGAATAAAATGAACACTATGTGCCCACCATGCAACTTAAGCAGCAGAACATTCCCAGGGCCTTGAAGCCCCACATGGCCCTGACCAGCTGTACCCCTCCCTCCATGCCACCTGGTAACTTATCACCATCTTACCCATTTTTAAGATCCATCCCTAAACTCATTTTCTTTTGCTCTACAGCTGCAAAGTACATGTGTAATGAAACTACAACATTCTCTGTTCTCCAAGCCTGATCAATCACCCTATGCTGACCAGGAATCAGAAGAGACAGAACACCAAGAGCAGGAGCTGTGTCACACTCATCCCTATACCCCAGCACCTAGCCCAGGCCCATTTCTTGGTGACTGCTTATTTCATTTACACCAAGATTCGCAAAACAAAAACATAAACACTGCAAAGGAATCAACAGGCATGCCCTGGAGAGAGGAACAAACGTTCCTTTCCTTCCTTACCTCTGCTTCTACCTGCTGCTGAGTTCGGTTGTGGTTCTCTTTGTACTGGTTGGCTCTCAGAACTTGCTGCTCGATGCCCAGCAGAACTGCTTCACAGCCGTCACACCTACAATAGAGAAAACCAGCCCTGAGCTGCAGAAAGGCCTGGGAAGTCTCTTCCAGCCTCTGACATCTTCCTCCCCAACAGCTCTCCCCAGAGTCTTACAGGGATCTCCTTTAATAATCCTTCTACCAACATCTCTTGCCCATTCCCTCCTTCCAAAAGACAAGCACTTCTAAATACCTACTGCAGGACATAAGGAGACAAATATGGTAGTCTAGGGCTAGTTTCTTAGAATACAGCTTTAATTTTCAACTCTGTATTTCATGGAAGATGGTTTTGTAGCACCTAAGATTAAAGAAAGTAGGATAGGCTGGCTGTGGTGGCTCACGTCTGCAACCCTAGCACTTTGCGGGGGAGGGGGCAAGGAGGGTGGATAACAAGGTCAGGAGTTCGAGACCAGCCTAGCCAACACAGTGAAACCCCGTTTCTACTAAAAATACAAAAATTAGCTGGGTGTGACGGCACACACCTATAGTCCCAGCTACTTGAAAGGCTAAGGCGGGAGAGTATCTTGAACCTAGGAAGTGAAGGTTGCAGTGAGCCGAGACCACACCACTGCACTCCAGCTTAGGTGACTCTGTCTCCAAAAAAAATAAAAATGAAAAAAGAAGGTAGGATAGATTTTACAGATGGCATTGAGTAATCCTTTTCTCAACAGAAAAAAAAAGATTTTCTAAAAGTATCCTATTTTGAAGATTCCTCCTTTTCTCAGAAGTTTAAGTTATTTCCTAATTGCCATACCCTTCCTCCTATTTTATTTTCCTCACTATTAACTTTTTTAAAAACAAAAAAGTTGAAAGAATACAATGAATATCCCCATACCTCCACTTAAGATCCAACAGCTGTGAACATTTTGCCATATGTGTGGTACCCCTCAGCAAATCAATTTTGTTTCCATCTACCACCAGTGCCTCAACATGAGTTGTAAGCATCTCTACCAGTAAACATACTGCGGTAACCCGTTAGTGTGGCACCTCTATGTCAAACATATTGGTGACTTAGAAACTGGAAAGCAAACTATGGACATGAAAAACTGTGTCAGTCATTTCAAAAACAGAACAGGACAGCCAACGTTGGCAGGTTCAGAAACCAGATTTTGTGTGCTAGACCATTTTGTGATGGGGTATTTCTAAGCTTATTTCTCCTTTATTCCCAGTTTCGGAACCTACTGAAAACTTCCACCTGTGTCAGATGTTGTACCGAGGTGGTGTTTGGGGCCACACCTGGGACAGAACTTGGGGTGAGGGGTGAGCAACACTTGTCCTGAGGTAGAGTAGCTTAAATGAGGGAGACTTGGGGCCATCAGACCCCAGGAAGTCAAAGTGGTGCTGCTCCTCTCTGGATATACTTCTCTCAGGGATGAGCAGAGATCCCATATCTCTCCCTAACCTGTGCACAAAGCTCACCAGCTCTGCTTCATGGCTTCCAACATGCCATGTGCCTGCCTGGGAACACACTCTCCTCACCTCCAGGCATACGATAACCCTGCCTCTCCTTCAAAACTGAGCTAAAACTTCTCCATACGTCATCTGGCTTTATAAGCCCCAAATAATTTAAATCACTCCACAGTAAATTCTCAAAGAATGTGTGACAGCTCTTGCAAATATCAAATTTCATAAAAACAGAGAACATCCAAATGTCCCAAGGCTTTTTACATACCAGAATATAGTTATCAGATATTCTATGGATGAGTCTGTATTCCAACTTAGAATGACCCACTCCTTGTTTTCCATGTCCCTCACGGTGTTTTACAAACACTAGCCCAATACACTACTGATTTTGAACGTTAAGTTCTTTAATCCTAAGAATCTTACAAACATGTTAACTTCCACAGGGATAGAAAAATTAAGAAGAACAAAGAAAGACTCTTACAAGCACTAACCTTCCTGGTTCAGTAAACTTGAGTCTGAGTTTGGCAAGGGCAAGACTAGCCTCACGCAGTCAGGATACATAGGCTCCACCTGCTAACCCTGGGCATTTTATGGCCCACTTTTAAATAGCCCCCAGTTGCATTAAGGCAAGAACTATTTTACAACCAAGGCACCAGGAGGCCTGAAATGACTCCTGTTGTCACCCAGCTGTGATCACAAATGTAGCCCCACTCTCTGGCTCACTGTCCTAAAGCCCCAGCTCCCAGGCAGCCACAGGCCCACCCCAAACTCTCAGTTGACACCAAGAAATCACATTTTTGCTAGGAGAGGCACAAAAGACATGCTAGATAGCCCCCTTCTTTTAGCCTCACCATTCATGCAGGGTCTTGACAATATTATTGATATCCTTCTTTCGGATGTCACGGCCAATGCAGAAATCCACTTCCAGCAGCTGGTTTCGCTGGTCCAGCTTGCCCTGGATGATGTCAGTGTAGACAGCCTCAATGATGAGGTCTTCTAGTTCCCGGAGATTCCGCATCTCCAGGTCTTTCAGCAACACAGAGTAGGGGATACACTGTAGATAAGGCCATGTGATCATTATAAAAACCATCTGGCAAGCATTATCGAAAATGCAGGTATTACCCACATAGCCAACAGCTGTCTCTAGGCTCGGGTACTGCAGGCTAGTGGTAATTACTAATGGCTAGGACAACAGGGATGGATAATGAACGATGAGACCTAGAAGACCCACCAACATCTAAGAAAGCAACCTCCTGGTTCTCTACCTCCTTGGCTTCACCCAGCCTTCAGATTTCACATGCTGTGGCATACTTGTAGAGATCCTAAAAACTTCTACCAATGGAGAGAAAGGGAACTACTCAGTATATGCCACTCTGCTACCTTCAGGAAGCTTTCAGATTTTGCCAGATCACCATAATCTCCAATAGATCCCAGACACTGGAGAGAACTGGCTACAAACAACAAAGTGCAAAAACAAACAAAAAACCTGCGGGCCAGCACATCTACCGATAGGTGGCCAACGGGGACTGCCAGCTCAGAGGTCATCCTGAAGTTTGCATCTGTTTTCTCAGACACTTAGAACCACTATGAATTCCCAACAATAGTTCTTTATTGGGCTGTACCAACATTCTGCATGACTCCAAGACTCCAGAGTTTTCTGCAAATCCTCTGCCATATCACTACTGGTTTGGAAATTAACACAGTGATCACATCTGTAGAAACAGACACGAGGAAAATATATACAGAGCAGAGAGCAAATATACCTAGAAGGGTTTTCTATGGCTAAAGGCATGATATCCATGGGCGGTAGGTGGACTTACAATGACAGGTTACAGAAATGAGGAAAAGGGTCACTGCTACTTCTTTACTATACTTGAGAAGTCCACAATCAGGACATGAAAAAAGGCCAGGTCCTCATTTCCCAACAAAATAGGCCTCCCACCTGAAATGCTAGGCTGAGAATCAGAGTGTCATTATATCAGATAAAATGATTTCAGCAACTGAAATCGCAATCCAAGAACAAAACAGACCAAGTGCAGTGGTTCACACCTGTAATCCCAACACTATGGGAGGCTAAAATGGGAGGACTGCTTGAGGTCAGGGGTTTGAGACCAGCCTAGGCAACATGGTGAGACCCTGTCTCAATTTAAAAAAAGTTTTGAGTTAAAAAATAAAGTAATAAGTAGTTAATAATAATTATATATATAGATATATAGATATCTATCTATATATATATCTTGGCCAGGCATCATGGCTCATGCCTGTAATCCCAGCACTTTGGGAGGCCAAGGCAGGCAGATAATCTGAGGTCACGAGTTTACTACCAGCCTGACTAACATGGTGAAATCTCATCTCTACTAAAAATTAGTTGGGCATGGTGGTGCATGCCCGTAATCCCAGATCTTCGGGAGACTGAGGCAGGAGAATCGCTTGAACCCAGGAGGTGGAGGTTGCAGTGAGCCAAGATCAAGCCACTGCACTCCAGCCTAGGCAACAAGAACAAAACTCTGTCCTTTCAAAAAAAAAGATTATATATCACTGAAGCTCAATCACGGAAGGAAAATGCTAAAACCAAAATTTTTTTAAAGGCATAGTCCCACAAAAATTTAGGCTGGGATTAGGCAGAGAGCCAAAATCAACTATACATTAACTAAATCTGAACCGTCATTATTCATGGCTGTGAGCAGCTGGCTGCAAGTCGTCTTCTAAATCAACTGTGGGAGAGGACTTGGAGGTACAGTGGAAAAGGTGGTATCTTACATAAGGTTAGAGTCTAAAGTTAGCACAGGAGACACAAATTCCAATTAGTGTAATAAACCTTGGAAATCCCAGAGAAAGGCAGTATATTAAAAATCTAGGCTGCACATGGTGGCTCACGCTTGTAATCCCAGCACTTTGGGAGGCTGAGGTGGGTGGATCACCTGAGGTCAGGAGTTCAAGACTAGCCTGGCCAACATGGAGAAATCCTGTCTCTACTAAAAATACAAAAAATCAGCCAGGCATGGTGGCGTATGCCTGTAATCCCAGCTACTCGGGAGGCTGAGATGAGATAGGAGAATCACTTGAACCCAGGAGGCAGGGGCTGCGGTAAGTGGATATCATGCCATTGCACTCCAGCCTGGGCAACAAGAACAAAACTCCGTCTCAAAAAAAAAAAATCTAGTAAGTCAACATAGCAAGTTTTTCCTCTAGCATGGGCAGAGTTCACTGTTCACTGAGCAACAGATAGTTATTAACTTGCCTTGAGATGCCTTGCTATTTGAAAAATGTCTATCTTTAACAGCAGTCTCCCCTTAATATGGGAAAATGCTCATCCCACATGAGGTACCACAGCATGCCACATACGATTCCTCTATGGAATGGGGAGTACTTGTCTACACCATTTTATCTTTTCCTCTGTAAAACAAATTTTATGCATTAATGATGTGACTCTCTTGTGTGCAGCTGGGACTTCCCTCATTGATGCCAGTGAGACAGCTGACTTGGGGTGAAAAGGAAGACAGGCGAGGACCGTACCTTCATTCTTGATGCCAAGCTCACGATGGTAAGATGCTTCAGCTTGTTCTGCTGAGCTGTGCTCAGTTCTGGCAGGCTCTCCTTGTTGGCTGCTCGGTCCCACCCACCACAAAAATCAAGACATAAAATAAAATTAGGATTTCTTTTATGGAATAAGCTCACCAACTCCCATACCAAATCTACTACTGAATCACTATCATGACTTTGCACTTATTCATTTGGCAAACACTGCCATCTTCTTTGGAAGACCATATACTTCCAAAGAAAAGTCTCGGTCTCTACACACCAAGTTTAATCTCCTAAACACTGAACAAACAAAATGATGTGGCAATTATCTTAATGGAATACTATTTGTGCCCCTTGTGACAATCAATTAAGTTAAACACATCTTTATTGAGCATCTGTTATGTGCAATGCTCTGTCTTGAGAAGAACCAAGGATAAATAAGATGGGCTTTGCCAGGGCTGCTGCATGGCACAACTCCAGGGCCACCAACCACTTGGAGGTGTGCAACTTAATGGCCCTGGACTTGTCCTCAGTCTTAAAATCAAATGTTTCAATAGCTACATATGCAAGGCAGAACTACCAGAAAAAAGGTACAAGCTACCAGAAGAGAGGAGAGGGATGGGGAGGAGGTAGAGGATGAAAAGGAAGAGAGAGAGGGAAAGAGAAAAGTATCATTTGGGAGGTACAGGAAATAAAAAGAAAGAGTTCATGGAAGAGATGGAGTTTGAGTTGAGCCTTGAGGAAGAGATAAAATTTCAGTAATAACCATAAATGATAATAACAGCAAGGGCAGCAGCTGCAGCAGCTAACATAAATAGCAAGCTTTACATCTTGTGGATCACACAGATCCACACATCCAGTTCATCTTCACAAGAACCCCACAAGACTCCATGTGTCATCAATTCCTTAAACACAATTCTGGATTCCAAAAAGCTGAATCCAAACTAATTTTTTTTTCTTAAGCATGGTGCTGAAATTCATCTGGTGGGAATTTCTGACCTGAATCAAGATAGGCTTTTTGTCCCACTTGTGAATATTCACCTGTTTTGCTGCAAAATTATGAATGTGTTTAACTGCCCACATTCTTCTGAAAATGTTACATAAAGAGGCATGGGCATCACATTAACTTTTTAAAGTCCCCAAAATTCTAAATTCTGAAACATCTACCCTCAAGGAGTGTAGGTAAGGAATAATGGACTTGTACTGTTACTCCTACTTTACAGATGAGGAAATTAAGATTACTTAGTCAAAGAACACAAAACTAGTAGAAGTGGAGCCAGACTAACAACGGGCAGTCTGGTAACAGAGTCTGCACAATGCTGCCTCTTTTTTTTATTTTGAGACGAAGTCTCGCACTGTCACCCAGGCTGTAATGCAGTGGCACGATCTCAGCTCACTGCAATCTCTGCCTGCTGGGTTCAAGCAATTCTCCTGCCTCAGCCTCCTGAGTAGCTGCGACTACAGGTGTGCGCCACTGTGCCCAGCTAATTTTTTCTTTGTATTTTTAGTGGAGGTGGAATTTCACCATGTTGGCCAGGATGGTCTCAATCTCGTGATTCGCCCACCTCAGCTTCCCAAAGTGCTCTCTTTAGTAAGCAAAGATAGAAGAATAGAATACACTCAGTGGAACAAAGGGAAGATCAGAAAAAAATGTAGTGTACCAGGAAGTGGCCAACTGTCCGATCTGACAGCACCACAAAGTAGAAGTGACCACGGAGAAAGGAGGAGAAGTCAGGGATATCGCAGAGAAGGCCCTGAGTATCAGGCTACTGTCAAACCATTAAAAAAGGGTAGGAAAGCCAGAAAAAAATGGTTTGGATAGAAGGTAAGTTAGTGGTTGGATATACAAGTATCTCATTCCTAGTATTTAAGATTCTAATTTAAAATGACTCAAATGCTCTACAATAGAAAATAGGCTAGATTATAAAGCATTAGATTTGAAATATTAAAAATGATTACAAAGATGTAAAACATGGATGACTATAAGTAGGAGACAAGCAAGACATAAAATTGTATACATAGTTATACCTATGTAATACAAAACACAAAAGGAAGGGGCACAAAAAAGTCCAGCATCCAAATGTTTGATGGAGACACAATAGTAAGTGACTTTTATTTATTTATTTATTTATTTATTTATTTATTTGAGACTGAGTCTCACTGTGTCACCCAGGCTGGAGTACAGTGGTGCAATCTCAGCTTACTACAATCTCCTTCTCCCAGGTTCAAGCAATTCTGCTGCCTCAACTGCCTGAGTAGATGGGATTACAAGCGCCCACCACCAAGCCCAGCTAATTTTTATATTTTTAGTAAAGACGGTGTTTCACCATGTTGGCCAGGCTGGTGTCGAACTCCTGACCTCAAGTGATCTGCCTGCCTCAGCCTCCCAAAGTGCTAGGATTACAGCATGAGCCACCACACCCAGCCTATGGTGACTTTTTAAAAATCTATTTTCCAAATTTTCTTCAATATGCTGATATTATCTTGATAATATTTAAAATGTTAAAATATTCTACAGGTGTGTATTCTGACACTTCATAGCACTCCAAGAGCCCTACAAACACCAGTCCTCAAGAATCTCATCTGGAAAACAAGGGCTCCATTTGTGGATGAGCACACACAGTTCCCATTATTTTTTTCTTTTTTTTTGAGATGGAGTTTCACTCTTGTTGCCCAGACTGAAGTGCAATGGCACGATCTTGGCTTACCACAACCTCCGCCTCCCAGGTTCAAGCGATTCTCCTGCCTCAGCCTCCCCAGTAGCTGGGATTACAGGCATGTGGTACTACGCCCAGCTAATTTTTTGCATTTTTAGTAGAGACTGGGTTTCTCCGTGTTGGTCAGGCTGATCTCGAACTCCCGACCTCAGGTGATCTGCCCGCCTTGGCCTCCCAAAGTGCTGCGATTAAAGCCACTGCACCCAGCCACACAGTCTCCATTTTACCCACTAGAATATAAAAGGTGACAAGGAAAATTCTCTTTGTGAGGTCACCTACCAGGCACAACAAAATGGGAGGCAGCCAGGTCAAGAAGTCTCCCCACTACCCCATGCTTTATATCTCAAACTTGATGGTCTCCCAAACTGAGCAACATAATTAAGACAAGTCTTTTGAAGGATCTTCACCAACTCACCTATGTAATCTGGGTATGTCCCATAGGCAAACAGGTTCAACAACTGCAAATAAGCAGCATTAGCTCCTTCTGCAAGCTGAGGAGGAAAAAAAAAGTTCACCACAGACCAAACTGTCTACCAATCACTATTGATGGGTGAGCATGTGTCAAAGATGCCATGGCTATTTATTCTGTACTATTTGATTACTTGGCCCCTCAGGTTTCTTCTGACTCTAACTCTTCAGGAAAAAATAAACAAGATTATTAAAGCCCCAACTTTAATTTCTCTCTGAGTATCAGGCTACTGTTTTACTTTCCACAGAGCTTGCCCAAGGAATTGCTTTTCTCTCTCACACACATACAAAGCATTAAGCACTGGAAGCAGTTCAAATCTTCTCAAGATTCTGTTTGCATCAAAACAAAGACTGGAGCAGCCCTGTCTACATACCAGGTTGGCAAGTATAGTATGAGCTGTTACCAACCCAAAGTGAACAAAGCCCATGATTGGTTCCAAGTTTCAGGACTACATGTGGACTATGAACCCTGGGAGAGACCAGCATATCATAAGATATAAGAGAAAGCCAGGCTGAGACAGAAAGCCAGGCTGGGAGAGAAAACCAGTATATCTGTCTGCCCCAAATAAAATGTTCATTAAAATTACTTACTCTTCACTGATGCTAATGGCAAAAAGCCATGTGTAGAAGAAAAACAAAAAGATCCACTGTTCTGCCTGGAACTTCTCTGCTGTCAATTACCATGACTGATTTTTTTTTTTTTAATCACAAACATGCTCCTTTTACCCTTCCAACTTACTAAGCTCAGTAAACTCTAAACAGAAATAGCAAGTGGTATTCTACAGACAGCAATAGCGATACTACTCAATTTTGGCCATTAAGAAAAAAAGGTTCCAAGAAATTCATCTATAATTTCAGATCACTGAAAAGCAACCAGCTTATTCTCAGCCCACATATGGAAAAACGCAAAGTATGGGGAGATAAAGGTGGTCTGCTAAGCACCCTATGGAGAACTCCAGCATCCTAATACCTCAGGTTACCAGAAACCTCCTAAAGTCCCTGAATCAGAGTGAGGAGAAACCTGGTAAAGACTATCCAATCTAGCCCCACGTTTCAGACACATAATTAACAAAACGAACCAGAAAAGAGTATTTTCTCCAGAGTACATACTCCAAAACTTCTCCCACTGGCCTAAATCAATAAGGTCTTTCAGGCTTTAATTTCCATCCATCTCCTCTTAATCTTCCACAGTTACACAACAACTACTCGGCATATTCATGCAGTATTTCCATGAACCTGAAGGAACACATTACCCCTTGGTAATCTCTTGTGTTGAAAAACGAACCCAGTTCTCACAAATTTTCTTCATAAAGCTCATTTTCCACTTCTGGTAAATGAAATTACTATCGAAAGCCTACTGTGTGTCAGGCTATTCAGCTCTGAAGAAATAACGGTGAGCACTACAGACCTGATCCTCACAGAGCGTATAGTGTGGCAAGCAAACCTGCCATGAAATACAAACTTACAGTGAAAAGGTAAAAGTGGCTCTTCTCTCTGACCATCACTGGTAGAGGAGCCATGTGTGGGCATCCGAAATGGCTGGGCTGTGGGGAACTGCTCCAGTTTCCTCATCAAGAAGAATATACACACACACAGCACTGCACTCAGACCTGAAGGCCAGCAATTCCTTTGGTTACAACTGGCTAATTCACCGAAACTCCTGTTAAAACTGACTGTGGGTGTGGAGCCAACAGCAAAGGTGTCGTGGTGGTCATGAAGGTGATAAACTGCCCAAAGAAAGAAAACCACGTCCTATATGCAAATCGCCACCACCAAGAATTCCAGGGCCGCTCTCAACAGCATCCAGCGCATGCTCCACAAGAAGTACCACCACCCACATCTGTGCATGGCAGCCATCCACAGAGCCAGCACCAGCCCACACAGCCAGAAAACTGTGACAGTGAAGAGGAAGGGGACCTTCCCTACCAATCCACCAAAAGCTCCTGAGCACCACCCTCTACCCCACAAAGCAATAAAGATGCTCACAGACTTTTCTCAAGTAAGTGAATAAATATAAATAAATAAAAGGGTTCAAAGTGGGAAGTAGAGGTTGAGAAGTACAGATTGCTTTACATCTCCTTGTTCCATCTGTTCAATGGATCTTCTCATTTTTGAGGCACAATAACCAAAACTGGATACCCAATGTTTTAATAACAAGCAAACAAGTAAAATGAACTATTCTAGCTTTTCATGTCATATCTAACACATCTACTTTAGCACAACACTGCCCTTTTCCACAAGAACAATATACTCCTACTCATGTCCTTTTTTACATACAACAGCAGTAAGTTTCTGCTGTGTATGTCCCTGACCAATCTTCCTGATTGATACCGCACTGGAGATTTCTAGTCCCTACGAATGCCTGAATCTACCTTGATTAAACATCAGCCCATGCTTTTAGTACTTTTCTAATTTGTCAGGACCAATTTGACTTTTTTACTATCTTTTAGATCATTATTAGCAACAATCTAATTTTACCCAAGGTCAGATGAAAATACTGGATCAAAGGAGCCAAGGACAATCCTCTCAATCTCTTCCCCTGCCCCACCAGTTCCCATCCTCCTCTCAACAGGGTACCTCACAGGTTCACAATACTCCAGCACTGAAATTCTTCGGAAACCTGGACGATTACAGAAAGGCTTAGAACAAAGAGAAATTGAAAACCGTTCTTACCTCCTGCACATTGGCCAGTTCCAGAAGTTCTCCAAAGACATACACTCCAGGGGCCTCTAAGACCTGGCTTATGAGAGCAGTGAGGGCTGAGCCACTGGTACCTTTGGCTAGTAAAATAAACTGCTCCAGGAGGTTACTTGAGGGTTTCTGTTCCCCTGCCATTCTCTGGCCTTGAAATCTGCCCAAAAGAAAAGTGTGTCAGTCATTCTTCCTTCACTTTTGCAAAGTCCATGCCTATTTAGTGCTGGATCAAACACCAGAATACTTTAATTTTATAGTATTCACAAATAAAAAACAGGCCAGGTGTGGTGGCTCATGCCTGTAATCCCAGCACTTTGGGAGGCCGAGTCAGGTGGATCACCTGAGGTCAGGAGTTCGAGACCAGCCTGGCCAACATGGCGAAACCCCATCTCTACTAAAAATACAAAAATTAGCCAGGCTAGTGGCGGACACCTGTAGTCCCAGCTACTTGAAAGGCTGTGGCTTGAGAATCACTTGAACCCAGGAGGTGGAGGTTGCAGTGAGCCAAGATCAAGCCTCTGCACTCCAGCCTGGGCAACAGACCAAGACTGTCTCAGAAAAAGAAAAACAGTTCCTGAGTCCAGATGCAATACCACCTTGTGAGATGCGTGGAGTTCAACCTGGAGTTAAAAGGATCTTATCCTAAATTCTGATGTTTGAAACACACTTTTAAAAAGTCATTTCACTTCTACCTGCCCTCCTCTAGAGGCAACACCTTCTAAATCCTTAAACCTGATCAAGACCTAAAGAAAAACACAGGAGTTTCTCAGCAGCTGTTTTATATCCACCTCGTTTATAGATTCTGGTTAAGAAATGGAGGATACTGCCCAAACACAGAGGCACCAGATGTAAGCAAAAGCAATCAGTTACAGCTCCCACTGTATCATCAGAATCCCATCCAGCCAGACACAGATAAGAAACACACAAAAATTAGACAAGAAAGATGTCTTATCATGTCAGGTAAGCATAGGAAAAGGAAGACATCATTTTGAAAGAAAAGCAGCGACATATTCAAGCTATGAACATGAATGCTGTGTAAGACCATGGAGGAAAATCCCTGCATTCGGCCTCCTCCTAATAAATGACATTTTAAACAAACGTGGCTGCAGAATGTGTACAAAACCTCAAGATTTGAGAAAACAATGAAAATACTGTATCACCCCTCCGAAGACATTAGGTACAGGAGGGTCCCTCAATTATGTAATCTACTTTCAAGCTGAGTGTACAGGAGTTCCAGGTAAGATTTCTCCTCCAAGAATGATACATACTGGAGCACCGCTGACAAAATGAACAAAAGACGGTATAGTACAGTGGAGCAAAGAATAATTCGAAGAATAGTTTGGTGCAAGAGAAACTAAGTTTTGTGGAAGCAGGTACACAGAATAGCAGCCCTTTCACAGTATTAGAGAAACAAGTATGACGCCTCACTTAGGATAGATTACCTAAGAAGGTCCGGCCAGACACAGGAAAAAAAAAAAAAGTGAAGTGCTAGGGAACAACGGGTTTTGAGGAAAGAAGGGAAAGGGGAAAGAGAAGGGGAGAGGATACGAGGAAGAAGGAAAGGAGCAGGGAAGAAAGGAGGGTCGGTGGCGGTCAAGAGAGGAGGAGCGAAATGGCCCTTCCAAGTGGACCCATGTGAAGAGACAGATGGGGATCTCTGCCAAGAGACTGAATGGAAGGAGGTAGAGGTAGAAAGGCGGTAGGGAAATAGAAACTTCGGTCCCTTCAAAAGATCTCGACTTAAAAGAGCAAAGCTTGTGGGCGCAGAGAATGTAAGGAGATGTCGCTGTCTTCTGGAGTGGGAGGGACAGAGGAGGCTAGGCACAGAGCAGAGAGAAATTCCCGTCAGGGGAGGGCGCTATTTTGATGGACCGGAGTGGGGCAAACGGGCAGCCTTTGGGGGTAGGAGAGCGAAGGCAGCCACAGCGCTGAAGCTGAGGGTCGCAAGCTGCAGCAGACTTCAGGGCGGGCGGTCTGTTCCAAGCTGGGCCGCAGGCGTGGAGTGAGGAGCCACGGGGCGCGCTCCCTAAGGCGGAGGCGGGGCGGCACGGCCGCGGGCTTCCTCTGCGCCGGGCGTTAAGCCGGATGGTGCGGCCGATCTTGGAACGCCGGCCCCGTTCGGCCCACCCTCTCGCTAGCCCCTACCTGTCCGCGCCACCTCTCGGTCCTCTGAGTCGCTGGCTCGGCCTCCCGGCGCTTGCCCGCAGGTTGTCAAGCGTCCATGATCAGCCCGGCGTCCGGCGCTTTTCTGCCTCCGCCGACCCGTCGCCCGTGCAGCTCCTCCGGAAGCCTCCCACCGTTGCACTCGCGTTCCGCCCACTCAAGGTTCCCCCCGCCGCGTTCACAGCCTTCGACCTCGGGTGGGGAAGTAGGGGCGAGGTGGCGGGTAAGAGGCTGCAGCCCGGGAACCAGGCTAGGGGCCAGAGGAGAGGAATGAGGCCTAGCCCGCACTGCCGCCCAATCGTCGCCTCCGCCATCCCGGGCTCCAAAACCTCCCCTTAGGCTGCACTCTCTCAGGAGCTCCCCATGACGACTGCGCTACCCCTGGGGACGGAGATATATTAAGCCTACTACCCACCCCTTATTGAGCGTTTTTCCATGTGCCACGTGCTGTACATGCATTATCTCGTTGAATTCTCGTAACTATGGCTAGTATTATTTTTCCCATTTTTCAGGTGAGTTAACTAAGTCCAAAAGTCAGAAAGTGGCAAAGCTTGCTTTGGAACCCAAGCTATCTGAGGCCGAAGCCCATGTTCTAGATCTCTATTCAGAAAATGTTTTAAAATAAGCAAGAGATGGGTTGCGCCAACAATGTTCTGTGACCAAAATGTCATTGATAGCGTTGCATCTGGTGCTTACCAACTCCTCTGAGAAGATGGCTAAGAAATGCCACGTAATTGAACACTTAAACTGATTCTTGTATACACCAGTCTTTCAGGTCTTGAAAATGAGAGAAAAAAGCCCTATTTGCCTATTGTGCATTAGAATGCAGAAATGAGATAGGACAGATGCAAAGGCGCCTCGCACCAACCCATTCATTCATTTATTCAAAAACATTTCTTTAGCACCTATTAGGTCCTAGAAAGTTATATGAAGATAAAACAAGGTTCTTACCCTCAAAAGCTCCAATGTGTTAAATGCTATGAGGAAGATATGACAACAGTTTGGAAGCACAGAAGAGAAGAGGTTGGGGAAGTAAAAATAGGCAAAAAGTGGAAAAAAGGCAGGTAGTGGCCATTGTCACAGGCTTGCACGGTGCAGCATATACTAACATCAAAAAGAAACCCAGAGTGGCTTGAACCCAGGGTTCAAGTGTGAGAAATGAGTACACAACTGGAGTCAGGTCATCAAGGGTCTTGGAATCCACATGCCAGGTACTGGGGAACTACTTAGGCTTTTTAAGCTAAGAAGAGGTATGAATAATTGCCTTTTTAGAGTGATCATGCTAGGGGCTATAGGAATGGATTGGATGTGGAGAGAACTGAAGGCAGGGAAAACCTCCAGTGAGGTGACTGATTTATTCTAGATAAAAGATTGTGAGATCTCAAAAAAAGGTAGTGGCAACTGCCAGGTGAGGTGGCTCATGCCTGTAATTCCAGCACTTTGGGAGGCTGAGGTGGGCAAATCACCTGAGGTCAGGAGTTCAAGACCAGCCTGGCCAACATGGCGAAACCCCATCTCTACTAAAAATACAAAAATTAGCTGGGCATGGTGATACCCACCTCTAATCCCAACTACTCAGGAGGCTGAGGCATGAGAATCGCTGGAACTCAGGAGGTGGAGGTTGCAGTGAGCGAAGATTGCACCACTGCACTCCAGCCTGGGCGACAGAGCAAGACTCCATCTCAAAACAGACAAACAAATAAACAAAAACAAAGGTAGTGGCCATTAGGGATGAAAAAGAAGTGATATTTTTTGAGACATTTAGACTGTAGAATCTATAGGACTTGGTGACGAGTTGAATACAGGGAGAGGGAAGGAGCATAACACCCAGGATTGTGTCCTGGGAGGCCAGAGCTGTCTGGAGCTGGTGTTAGGTGAACAGGGCTATGGAAGAGGAGGGGCAAATATGGAAGTAAGAGAAAGACAAGTGAGTTTAGTCGGACTTCATAAAAATTTCAGCAATGTCTCCACTTCCTCCAGAATAATGTTGACTCCATACTTGCAATTTGAATTTAGTGTTTTGGTTTTTTTCTCTTAAGAGATGGAGTCTTACTCTGTCACCCAGGCTGGAGTGCAGTGGCACCATCATAGCTCACCGCAGCCTTGAACTTCTGGGCTCAAGGGATCCTACCACCTCCACCTCCCAAGTAGGTAAAACTACAGATGTGTGCCACCACAGTCAGCAAATTTGTTCCTATTTTTTTTAGAAATGGAGTCTCACTATGTTGCTCAGACTGGTCTTCAACTCCTGATCTCAAGTGACCCTCCCATCTTGGCTCCCAGAGTGCTGAGATTACAGGTGTAAGCCACCACACCCAGCCCATGGCTGTAGTTAAAGCCCTTCAAAGTGTGCCTCCCTCCTAACTCCTCGAGCTTGCTTTGTTGCACCCCACCCGCTTCACAGTCCAAACTCCCATGCCTGGCACAACTTAAACCTTCCTTCCCAGACACCAGGCCTGTGCTCAAGCTTGCTCTCTTTTTTTGTAATGCTCTTATATATTCCTGTAAAAATCCTACCAACTCTACAAGCAAAGATTTCTAAAATCCAATGCAAAAAACACTAACCATAATAGAAAACATGGAACTTTTGCACTATGTTAAAATTAAGAATTTCTGGCAAGTACGGTGGCTCACACCTGTAATCCCAGCGCTGTGGGAGGCCAAGGTGGGCGTATCACGAGGTCAGAAGTTTGAGACCAGCCTGGCCAACATAGTGAAACCCTGTCTCTACCAAAAATATAAAAATTAGCCAGGCGTGGTGGTAGGAGCCTGTAGTCCCAACTACTTGGGAGGTTGAGGCAAGAGAATCACTTAAATTCGGGAGGTAGATATTGCAGTGAGCCTAGATTGTGCCACTGCACTCCAGCCTAGGCCACAGAGCAAGACTCCATCTCAGAAACAGAATTTCTGCTTGTCAGATGCAGTGGAGTATGCCCATAGTCCTACTTGGGAGGCTGAGGCAGGAGGATCACTTGATCCCAAGAGTTCAAGGTTGTAGTGGTACCTGTGAATAGCCGCTGCATTCCAGCCTTAGCAAAGCAGCAGAGACCCCATTCCTTGAAATAATAATAATTTGTTTCAGAAGACACCAGTAAGAGAATGAAAAGACAAGCCACACCTTGGAAAAGACATCTGCAAAGCATATATCAAAGAACTCCATATCCAGACTGTAAAGAACTACATATCAGCAAGAAGACAGCCCAATTTTTAAAAGTCAGAAAAAGAGCGGGCACTTCACAAAAGAGGACATTCAACTAGCCAAGAAGCACATTGAAAGGTGCTCAACAGGAAAAACGTAAATAGATACCTTAATGAGATACCACATTCAGCTAGAATGGCTAAAATTAAGAAGACTGACAGCAAACATCCAGTGTTGACAAGGATAAGAGGCACCTAGAACTCTCATATTTCTGGTGAAGGTGTAAATTGGTACAATCATTTTGAAAGACTAGCAATGTCTACTATCACAGATCATGTGCAAACCCTCCCTACACACCAGCAATTCCTATCCTGGAAGTGTGTGCAAGTGTTTACAAAAAGATACATGTAAGAATGCTCACTACAGCTTTGCTAATAATAGTCCAAAAAAATCACAACCCAAATGCCCACCAACAGTGGGAAAGATAAATTATGATATATGCATACAACAGAATACTATTCAGCAGTTAAAAGGCTACACACAACAAGGATGAATTTCACAAAAATACTGACAAGGTTAAAAAGCCAGACACATACTGTACATACTCTATGATTACATTTAACTGGAATTCAACAACAGGCAAAACTGATCTATGGTGATACAGTCAAAAGAGTGATTATCTCAATATGTAAGAATGTAATACTGATTGGGAAGGAGCACTAGGCATGCTAGAAATGTTCTTTATCTTGATTTGGGCAGCAGGGACAGGGGTGTATACCTATGTGAAAACTGTTCCCTTACTGTATGTACGTTACACCTCATTAACAAAAACTTTTTTAACATGAAAAAAAAATTCAAGCTCAAATGTCACCTTCTCATTAAACTTTTGCCAGCTGTAATGAATCTTTTTATCAGGGCCTCCTTAGCATTCTGATGTCATTTCTTTATGCCATTTTACCACACTCCATCTTGAATCTCAGTGGAGTCTCCTTATTTCTCTAAATAGATGTTTTGTTTATCTTCCTGGTGGCAGTGACCATGTCCTTCACCTTTTACCCACTCAGGGCCTAACAAATAATAGGCTGAAAACATGTTTGTTGAATTACATGGAAGAAAAAATTGGGTGAGTTCCCAGATGGGTGAAAGCGAGGACAGGCAGAGGAAGGAAGGCCAAGAGAAGGACATAGGAGGTCTCCAAGGAAACCGTGGCTCACACTGCAATTTTACCTACTTCCTGAAATCACGTTAAATGTCACTTTGAGTGGCAAAGAACAAAACACCAAGTCATACCTAGGCTGAAAATATACAAATATCACACTCCCTTACTTACAAGAAATCACCAAATAAATGCTACCTAATCTCTGGGTGTTTCAACACTGGATGGGAAAACCGTTCAAGGAGAATAAGAATTCACATTGCCATCCTGCTAAAAATATCACCTCCTTAGTGTGGTGCAGAGTCCGGACTGCAAGTCAGCAGACTTAGGGCCGAATTCTAACTCCGCCCGAACTTGCTGTGATCTGCGACCAATCCCTTCGCCTCTCTGGGCCTCAGTTTCCTCATACATAAAAACAGGGTGTAGATTAGCAAAGTCCCTTTCTGTATTGATATCGTGTGTACAATCCATAGCTCTCACGATCCAAAGCAGGAATACAGCAAAAACCCCTGAAAAACACGTAAAAGACGCCTCAGACCAACAAACAAGCACGACTTGAAGAAGTCATTTTGTTATCTTTCACAGTTCAATCAGTGTTTTTGTTTGTTGTTTGGTGCCTTACCATGATTTGCAGAAGATGTCTGAGTTCCATGTAAACAGAAGGTGACTCTCTGCGGGTGTCATCTTCTTCGGAGGGTGAGAAGGGTCTTCCCGCCTGGTTTCAAGTCTCAGGATTCCGAAACCACCAACTCAGCTGGCGGGTTTATGAATTTGCGCACACTGCGCGGCACACTGGAGCCTTAAGTTACAGAGGAACTGAGTGCAGGGGATGTTGGGATTTGTAGTCCCCAGGCCTCTTTGTAGTGCGCTGGGATCTGTGGTCCCTGAGTGCACCGCTGGCATGCTGGGAAATGTAGTCTGTCGCATCTCACAGTGCAACTAGCTGCCGTCTCACAGTGCAACTAGCTGCCGGTTAGTGTGCTCAGCGGCTAGAGCAGGTCCCTAAAGCCTCTGCATATCCGAAGGCAACCCTCCGCTGGGACAAACTCTAGGCAACAACACCAGATGAATATTATGTCCTTTGGGACTTCCCGGGGTGGGCCCTTCCCATTGACGTTCACAGTCCCCCTGCGAAGCCGCTGCGCGCTCCTATTGGCTGATTGGGTTGCCAATTGCCAAGGCGGGCTTTCCATTGGTTCCAGGAGGGCACTCGAGGCTTGGGGGAAGGAGAAGGGATCAGGAGCGGGAGCTGAGGGGAGAGAGAGGCCGGTCCGGGTTTGGCCGCTGCTGCTGCTCTCCCGAGGTCTCCAGGCCGGACTGCGGCTCCATCCTCGGCTCCTGGGCACCGTCTACGAGGCTCCGCCAACCAGAGTGAGAAAGCCGCGGGCGGCGACTGCCGCATCATGTCAACCAAGGACGAGCGAGCCAGGGAGATCCTGAGGGGCTTCAAACTGTATCCGCCCGGGAGCTGGGCGGGGCCGGGAGGACTTGGGAGATTGCCGCTCCCTGAGGAGACTGGCAGGGGGCGGGGGCCGCGCCAGGTGGGCCCCACCGAAGAAGGGCCGCGGGAGGGGAAAGGAAAGGAACAGCTTGCCCGGCCCCGGGAGGGACCGGGCGCGAGAGGCGGCCCCAGGGGCGTCCGGAGGAAGGACGGGGACGTTGACGGGAGCCCCGGGAGGTGGCGGGTGGGGACGGTGGAGCCTGGGGGACGGGGCTGCTAGAGGCGCCGGGCTTCGGAAACGCTGTCAGAGAGGCCGGCTGGATTCCGATCCCCGGCCGGGACCCAGAGGCCGGGAGGGAGCTGCGGCCCGCAGGGAAGGGCTGAGGGGGCGCGGTGGGCTGATCTCGCAAACTAGAAGCTCTCTGGCGGGAAGCCCACCTGGGGAGCGCGGAACGGTGACTTGGAGCGGGCGACCTTGTGTGGGACAATTACCAGTGCTTTTTAAAACTCTCTTAGGTCCCCCACCGCACCGCACCCCACCCCCGTCTGGTTTCCACAACTTCTTTTCCAAACTTGTGGCTTCTTCCAGGGCTGGAGTAGTTGGGGGATGTGGGGAAACAGAAATCCAAGATCGACCTTGTCTTAACACTCTTGGCCTTCTGAGGCATTGGTTACTGCCTCCCCCTCAGCGCCTCGGTTTTCTTTCCAGCTAGATGGGGACCGTAGGCTTGGGTGCGGGGTGCCGCGCTGGGACTCCTAGCCGAGGTGTCTTTGCTGGCTCCTGTCGTTGTGGTTAACGCCTGGCGGTGGTGGAGCTGTCCAGCAAAGGTGTGATGTGGCTGGGGCCACGGTAGACTAGAGTTGGGTAGAAAAATCATTGCCTCGGGCCTATTGTGGTGCCACTTTTGCAACCTCTCCTCGATGTGGCAAGGAAGCTTTGTGTTTTCGTCGAGTGTGTTAGGCTGTCACCATATGATGCTGATGAAAAAAATGCAAACTTGTATCTTCACATTTTCCATTCTCCTGCCGACTTTAATCTCTTCATACATCTTGTCTGTAATCTATAGTGCGGAACGAACTTAAATTCCCCCCGCGGTGAAAAGGTAGTCATCACTTTTGGGCTCCTCCCTTGGAGGTTTAGTGCACTGTTCTCTTGGTCTGCTGTTGTGTTTTCACATTGTCCATGTCATCCTTACAAATTTTAATTGCTTTGCTATGATCAGAAACCAAGTTGGTAATACATTTTAGATCACAGTGCAAAAAGTACAAGTGAGATTTTTCAAATGGAAATTGATCTTTGCTTTTTAAAAAAATAAAGGCTGTATCCCCTTTGCATACTACCGTTTGTGATAAACTTTAAGTTACTTTTATGTAGTGGTTTAGTGGCAGCCTCTTTTACCTCCATATGCCTTTCTGTGTTTCTCTCCATAATGGATCATATAGGTATATAGGGATGACTAAAGTGCTAGAAAAGCTATGACATGGATTTTATTTTCCCTGAATTATGTTATTACTTAACAAGTAACAATGTAATAATATTGTTACTTAACATGCAGTGTAGGCAGTAAACCAGAGACTATGGAGAATTGAGAGGTTGAGAGGTTTCAGAAGCAGCGTTTTCATCTGATTGGAAAAACCATATTGCTGAAAAGAAGAAAGGTCTTTTTAATGGCTTTTGAACAAGCAAAGAAGTTTGAGCTTCTCGCTTTCAGTCTTGGCTCTTGAACCTGTTGAGAAAGAGGGTAAGAGACAAATACAGGAAAGAGTAGAAAGCAGAATCTGTGTCAGCCCACTAGAAGGAAAAGTGAATCAACGGATTCAGTGATGTCAGTGCACCCAGAAACAGGCTTTCAGGGAGAGCTTGACCTGAGCTAATTAAATCCTAAAGCACAAGGGAAGCAGCCACATCAAAAAGTTAGCATGAGAGCAGTGGCGTGCTCATCCTCTGGTAGTCTTTATTGGGCATCTGGGGAGTAAGAGAGAAAAGAAAAGCAGGAACGTTAGGATATGCTGCTACCTTCAGGAAAAAGTAAAATTAATGTTGGCCAGGTGCAGTGACTCACATCTCTCATCCCAGCACTTTGGGAGGCTGAGGTGGGCAGATCACCTTAGGTCGGGTGTTCGAGACCATCCTGACCAACATGGAGAAATGCTGTTTCTACAAAAAATGCAAAACTAGCTGGGTGTGGTGGTGTATGCCTGCAATCCCAGCTACTCAGGAGGCTGAGGCAGGAGATCGCTTGCACCCAGGAGGCAGAGGTTGCTTTGAGCCAAGATTGAGCCATTACACTCCGGTCTGGGCAACAAGAGTGAAACTCCATCTCAAAAAAAAAAAAGATAAAATGTTTTAGTAAGGAACTATCTGACTGTTGTCCACTTTTTATTGGGTAAATAGATTTTCTGAACTTTCAGAGTATCTGTTTCTGAAAGAATAGTTTATCACTACAAAAAGAGCACCATTATGTTCTCCCACCAACAATATTGATAGTACTTAGTTGACCTGTTGACTAGGTCAGTCTTTTTTATTTGCCAGTTTGCACAACAAATGAGATCTTGTTTTAATTGGTATTCTCCTGGATTCCTAGATCCATGAAGAGGTAATGTAGCATAGTGGTTAAGAGCTATACTGGCCTGTGGCTATACTGCCTGCACTGGAATTCTTGCCCTGCACTCCTAGTTGTGTGTCCATGAGCAACTGCTTTAACCTCACCTCAATTTTCTTGTCTGTAAAATGGGGAAAATGATAGTACCTATCGCATGGGTTGTGAGAGTAAATGAGTTGATATCTAAAGCATTTAGAAAAGCACCTGATCCACAGTAAACATTACGCTTTGGCTTCTTGTTATTATCAAAGACGTTGTACATCTCCTCTACTTGGCCATTTCTTTTCCCTCTGTAAATTGTTTGTTAATTTTGTTTTTGCCTATTTTACTATTAAATTGTTTCTTTTTCTTGTTTGTAGATGTTCTTTACATATTTTAATACCAATCCTTTGCCTATTATGTATTTTGCAACTATTTTCTCTCAGTGTATTGTCTCCTATTTTGTTGAACAGAATTTTAAAATTGTCATTTCAAATTTATTTTATTTTTTCAAAACAGAGTCTCGCTCTGTTGCCCAGTTTGAAATGCAGTGGCGCAGTCTTGGATCACTACAACTTCCACCTTCCAGGTTCAAACAATTCTCCTTCCTCAGCCTCCCGAGTAGCTGGGATTACAGGCACATGCCACCACACTCAGCTAATTTTTGTATTTTTAGTAGAGACAGGGTTTCATCAGGTTGGCCAGGCTGATGATCTCAAACTCCTGACCTTGTGATCCACCAGCCTCAGCCTTCCAAAGTGCTGGGATTACAGGTGTGAGCCACCGTGCCTGGCCTCACATGTATTAATATTTTCCATCTAGCTTTTGCATTTTGTTTCTTGTTTAAAAAGATCTTTCTTATCCCAAGATCGACTAAATGTGTTTCTTTCTTCTCTTTTCAATGTTTAGCTCTTTAATCCACTTGGAATTTATTTACACATTTGGTATGTGGTAGACATCTAAGTAATTCTGCTATTTGGATAGCCATTAGTTCCACTACTATTTACTAAGTAGTTAGTCCATCTTTTCCTCGCTGTCTTGAAATGCCATCCTTGTCATATCCTAAATTTTCATAAGACATAGGCTTATTTTTGGATTCTTTATTTCATTGATCTGTCTCTTCCTGTGCCTATACACACTTGGTTGAACTATTACAGCTTTATGATATGATTTACTGTAGTTTATAATAGGATTGGTCTGTTATTAACATAATATATGTGTTTAAGGTCCCTATAAATATTTGTGCCCCTTTTGTTCACAGAGAAGCTTGCCCATATGCCCATAACAGATAGAAATATGAGGACTTGGCTGGGCCTGGTGGCTCATGCCTGTAATCCCAGCATTTGGGAGGCCAAGGTAGGACAATCGCTCAAAGCCAGGAGTTCAAGACCAACCTGGCCAACATAGTGAGATCCCCAACTCTTAAAAAAAAAAATTAAAGTTACTCCGTAAAAGTGAATACTGTGTGCAAAAATCAGGTATCGTCTGAGTGAATTCAGTACAGGCCTTTGTACTTGCCATCAGTTGTTTCAAAACAAAATCTTATAAGATTTTATTCTCATATCACCTATACCCCATCTTACCCTACCTCTTTCAGAGTATCTTTTTTTGTGAGAATAGTTTATTACTACAAAAAGAGCACCATTGCCAGGCGTGGTGGCTCATGCTTATAATTCCAGCAGTTTGGGAGGCCGAGGTGGGCAGATCACCTGAGGTCAGGAGTTTGAGACCAGCCTGACCAACATGGAGAAGCCCCATCTCTACTAAAAAATACAACATTAGCCGATCATGGTGGCACATGCCTGTAATCCCAGCTACTCGGGAGGCTGAGACAGAAGAATCGCTTAAACCCAGGAAGTGGAGGTTGCAGTGAGCCGACATTGTGCCATTGCACTCCAGCCTGGGCAGCAAGAGCAAAACTCTGTCAAAAAAAAAAAAAGAGCATCATTATGATCTCTCACCAACAGTGTTGATAGTACTCAGTTTTCCACGTTGACTAGGTCAATATTTTTTATTTTTGCTGGTTTGGACAACACATGATACCTTGTTTTAATTTGTATTTTTCTGAATCCTAGATCCATAAAAGCTAAAATAGCATAGTGGTTAAGAGCTATGCTGAGCTATACTACCTCTCAAGAAATGCAAGGCTCTCATACACATTAAGAACCTTGCATTTCTTTCTTGTTTGTTAAAAGTATAACATTTCCTAATTGTAAATTAATGTTATGAATGAAATTCTACTTGGGGAACAGTAAGATTCTCCTGCAAATATTTATGATTTGATTATTTTAAGCAGCTGACCTAGAGATTGATGTTTGTAAATCCCACATTTCCCATTTCATTTCTTCAACAAAGATCTGTTGGGTAACTGTTATGTATAGGGCACTCTACACTTGAAGGATACAAAAATGAATAACTTACAGTTCCTTC